CTCTCCCTCCGCCATTTCTGACAGGCCTAGTTCTTTCTTTTGTTGTTCCTTTTATGGAGCTCATTACCTCCAGACATCAGTGCTGAGACGTCACGCACAGATAATGTAATGGAGGTCACCTGATACTCTGCTCCAGTGTAACTCTGAACAGTTTGTGTCAGTACTGGCCATGTAGACTTATGATTATAGTTTTCCCTTTCAACTTTATGTCACTTATCGGCTTATACAGCAGTTGTAACAAAGGTTTCAAAGGTACTAATCTGGACAAGCTTTTAATCTCAAGACGGTTGGTCCCATTCAAGAGTCTTGTTTTGGTTGTTACAGAGAGCAGAGAATTGGGTCTGACAAACAAGTTTAGAGCAAATTTTCAGGTTGAAACTCATCATGAGATGAAAACGTATTTTCTACATGACTACCTTTAAAATGTCTCTTACCATCGACCTCTCCTGCCTAAATGAGCTTCCTAAACTATATTACATCAAAAAGACACTTCAGATGGATGCTTGGTGGTCAATTGCCACAACTTGTTTATTCATAATTTGCAACGTTATGTGGAACAATTCTTCCTTGGACAATTCATTGTGGTCTTATAAACATATTTTTGGTCAGTACTTCAGCAGTCTTTTTTCTTTTGATCTGATAGTTTTTCTGCAAAGCAGTTTGTAAAGTTGTGTATTGTGGGGTCTCAAATAAATAAATAAATAAACTTTGATAATTGAAATAAAGGTAACAAACCAACTAAAATATTAACTTAAGCCCGGGCCAAACAGTTGAGTGGACATTGGACAAAACTTAAACATGGTTTTCTGGTAGATTTTGCCGTGCTAGCATTCACTTTAAATACAGCATGTCCTCATGTCCTCACTGACCTTTTGAGCAGAAAACCCTCATAGTTACGCTGAAATCTGGAGCATTTGTTTGTTTTTGCCCAGTGCTGCTGTGAAATGAGTTCTTTTTGCTTGGGCAGATGGAGCAGGGTGGTGCAGTGGTGGAGGAGATTACAGAGTTTCCAAACTCAGGGAGGAGTCTCAGTGCACCACAGGCTAAAAAAGACACTGGCCACAAGCCTGTCATCCAAGACCATACAATGAACTGCAAGTAGCACAATGGCATGGCCGGGTGGAGCCTGTTAAAATGTCACACAACAATAGGAGAGTAAAGAGGGCTAAAAATAAAATGGGTAACTATACTGAAAGTATGGGAGAGACCTCTCAAGTATAGACCCTTTGTTTTGATTCTCATTTAAAGGTACACATGTGTTATATTCCATGTTATGGCAGTAAATGTTTTTATGGTGTGTATTATGGCATGCATTTGTTCAGTTACAGGTGTTTTTATTAGTCTACAATAAAATACCTTGAAAAAATACCTCTCTACATATCGAAGCTGTAACTTCTCATAGTGTTCCTCCCTGATCATCAGAACAGAAACAGAAATAGAAAAGTTGTTCAGCTCATTTACCATCATGACATATTACACATTCACATTTACAGATGGTTCATCACAGTTCACTGTGCCTCATAATTCCATCTGTTTCTCTTTTATGTGTTAGGTATTTGTGTGCATTACTTATGTGTGTGCGTGTGTTACTTATGTTTGTGTGTTAATTAAGTGTGTGCGTTACTTATGTGTGTGTGTGTTACTGCAGCAGCAGTACAACAGTGGGTGTCCTGTTTCTACAAATGGTCTGTTTGTGTCAAAACAAAAAGAAAAAAGAAACACAGAGCACCAAAATAGTGCGACCTCCTGTCGAATCAACAAGCAAAGCCCTCTGTAAATCTGTGGTGATATATTTGATCCTAAATGTCACAAATATTTAAGAGGAGGAGATGTCTTTCTGACACAAGAAAGCGGCTCTGACTGGAGCGTCCAAAAATTTGGTGGTTGCTTATTTGCTGTGTGTCTGGGCCTAAACCCTATTGGAATTTTGAAGAGCAAATTCTTCAGGCTAATAGATTCCAATATTTTTTTAAATATCCATGTCTCATTTCTCTTTGATCTTCCTGTCTGACTTCTTTACATTGCATTTTTAAACTCACCTTTAACTCTCGGTGTCCATGACTCTGTTAATTTAATTTATTTCATTTTTACTAATTTGACTTTCATTTCACCTTTCATCCAAGAATTTAAACAGATTTTTATGACTGATAAATCATCATCAAACTCAGTCTCAGGAGCTTGCTTTTCCCCTGTTGTGTAACCGTGATAAACACCTGTATAGAAACATACTTTACTAATAACATATTTTACCTCCTTTTAAGGAATCAAACGCCTCCTACATTTGCTCTGTAGTACAGTTGACCCCCTCTTCACCTGCTTTTTGACCTTCTGTGTGTGCCTGTTTCTGAAAGTCCATATTGACGTCACCATTGGAGAGAACAATCACTCGTATTTCCTTAAGTTAACAATAATAAGTCAGACTTGGACTATAGGTGCTCTGTAATTGCAGGGGCCAATGTAAACTGCAGAAATCAGAGACATGTGTGGTGTGGGTAGAAGGGAATTGACCAAATACTAATGATTTAACGCTGACTGACAGATGTAATAACCCAGTGCAGATCTCCTGTGTAATGCATTTGAGAGTCTGGGCTTCATTTGGAGAGGCATAAATGTTAAAAGCCAAGGAACTTTACAGGGTTCACCAACCACTATAATTTACCTGTCAGTTCAGCCCTATACATCCTTGTTTCACTAATAATAATAGTAATGCGCCTTACATAGTGATTTCTCAATGTCACTTTTGTATAATACTTTCAGGCATTATTCATTTCCTAACTTCATTCACACTTTGTTAAGTGTGTAAGTTACTTTTGTAGCCAGAGCTGCCCTGGGGGATAGACACAGACATAATAATGTGGCTTCTATTCTGTGCCTCATACCCCACTGGCCAATACCATCAGTCACTAAGAACATTTCTTCTTAGGCAAGGTTGGTGTTTTGCCCAAGGGCACAATGATAGTATTCAGGGGTTGTATTCTGATCAAACCTTTGATGACAGAGGACAGTTTTCCACTGTAGAAAAAAAAAAAGGTATTATTTTTAAAGATCAAACGATATGCATTTTTTCCACAGCCAATTGTTTAAAATCCACAGGAACTGATGGCCCTGCTTATATTTTTAGACCAATATGTAGCTCAGATTTTTGTAATTTTCCCCAAATTATCAAATTAAAATTAACTACAAACTCATCCCCAACTTTCTTTTACTAATTTACCTTTACCTTCTTTTTTATGCAAATTTAGGCAGCTGGTTGAGCCAAACAAACTATCGGCCTCTGTTGATGAGGTTTATAGCTGATAGCCAAAACACTTAAAAGAGCAAATATCGGCCATCTGACATATCAGTTTATTTCTAATTATTTTACTATAATTCTCAATTGGACAGGGACTGTATTTCAGATTTAACTTCTCAGAATCAGTGGATAAAGCCTCTTGGATGAAATGCAAAACATATTCAGCTCCAAAACCTAATCTTCTTTAAGTACTTTATTAGCACACTTGACTTTTTGAATAGTTTTCCCCAAATCCCTAAGCAAATGCTACTTATATACTGTATGCCTCGAGCTGCCAAAACAACATGCCATTTAAAATACCTGGACCTAATCTGAATGCAGAATGCGGTTGTAGCCTCTTGTTTATTTGTTTACCTGGCCCGAAAATGTCTGAAATGCCAAGGATTCTGTTTTTGGATTGACATTTTCAGTTCAGCGAGCAGCTCAACATCACAACTTAGCCCGGAATTTGAAGAAACAGGTCACCATTATACAGGCGTCTAAAAGTAAACTCAAATCAATACAGCTACTGTGGTAGTTTGAAACCCATCTTATGACCCAAACAAGTGGTTACCCATTACGAAGCCTGCTATTTCTGATCAATTCACAATTCAAACAACAGAGTGTGAGAAAATTAATTATCCAAACTTTAATGTGAGGGAAAGTGCTCAGATACTGATTATTACTATAATTTGGACAAAATCACTCCCTTTTTCTGACTCCCTGTCCCTGAGGTAATAAGGGAAAGCTTTTAGCAGTACCAATTACATGTAGATGAACTTGGGGGATTTGTGCTTGGTCGAGCTAATTGGTGAAAAGTGAAAATGAGATTCTGAACTGGTGTGCTGTTTCCTGTAATGGAGAGCCACATAAGTCTTGGCAATTTTCCCCCAAACTCAAAGCTTGGTCATTCAATCCCAACTTGAACTAGTGCCCACACTTCTCCCACCTCCGCAATCTGCTATTTTGTGTTATTGGATGAAGGTAGTGAATTATCGAAAGGAAAATTGATAAAATTTTTGTGTTTTAAGAGCAAGCAGAAGATCGGGTTGTTTTATCACTGCCTTTTTAATGTTTTAAATCCTACTCCCTCATATTATAGTCGTGTCCTTATTTAAAGGGTCTGTATTACACACAATTTACTCTTGTGAGCTTTAAGATATATAACACACCATCAAAAAGAAACTTTGAGTTGTGTTTTGTTTCATTCGCACATGTCTGAGTAACCCTTTTTTATTAGTCTGTCCAAATATCCAAAACTCTAAATGCTCTGCTCCACCTCATGATGTCTTGAAGCAGTAGTTTTCAAGTTAACAGCTCCTTTTACCTTTAGTACAATTCCACTAATGAATCACCTTTTCATTATGTTTAACTGCACTCCTCCTCTTGTGTCTTTGTGAGAGTCTGCAAAAGAGGACTTATCCATCTTTTTTTACTCAGAAGAACTGCAGAAAACCTCAGGTGTAAAACCATTTATATCCTGTTTGTTTTCTTATTTAACAAAGCATTTGGGTACTTGATCAGATTGTTTTCTACTACGGACCATTTGTATTCAGTGTCTGCTTTATTCCATGCCCCCTCTCCTTGTCACTCTGCAGCTCTGTCTATCGGCCTGTACATCTCTCACATACCTGTATGGAAACTTAGCGTATACAATCCACCCACTGTAGTGCACCCAACAGTGCAAAGTCATCCCTGAAACTTGTCTGTTTTTTGTTTTTTTTCACAGATACGGCTTCCTGGGGCAATGGATGGGTGACTTTGCTGTGATCTGATTGGCTAGTCAGACCTCTGAGTACTTTCTGGTGCAAGTGGCAGTGATGGCCAAGAGTCCAGAGGTGAAGCTTGCAGTTTTTGGGAGAGCGGGAGTTGGCAAGTCTGGTAAGACCATACTGAAAAAGTGAATTCAATCAGGAGAGACTATTACGCTGTTTTCAGATCTATGTTATAATGTTGTTTCATCATTAAAACATACCTGGAGTTGTGTTTTGTTTCATTCATACATGTTTAACACAGAAACATATTTAGGCTGAGTTCTTCTCTCAAACAAAAACACACTTTTAAACTACACTTTCACTATAATCATTTGGATGATTTCAGCCCAAATTTTGCCAATCTCTACTGAACAAAAAGTGAACGGTAGCTGTTAACTTAAAAATGATCACTGCACAAGGTGGAATAGAATAGAGCATTTTGAGCTTTGGAAATGTAAACAGACAAATAATAAACGATTACTCAAACATGTGTGAATGAAACAAAGCACTTGATGTGTTTTTGAGGAGGTAGCAGCATTACACATAACACAGATTAAAACTCACAAGTGTCAATTGTGTGTAATATAGGATCTTTAAACTGGGCCTGCAAAGTTTGTATAAGATTAAATAATTGACTTTAAACTGAGCTGTACTGAACTACTTACATTACAGTTACATTAATTTGGTATTCACCTGTCAATCTTTGCTTTTGATAATCTTTGATACTGTTCAATTTCTTTAACAGTACTAAATCTGCCCTTGCTGCCCCCTGCTGGCATCATTCCTTTCAGATAGATATTAGCTACTGTAGTCCACTTTAAATCTACATTACAATGGTAGTTTATCTCCAACTTTATTTTAGTTGGTCTTTTGGGTCTATTATGTGAGTATTGTAAGTGAGTGAATGTTTGTATGGTTCTATTTCTAACTAGCTGTCCACAGTGTAAAGCAATAGTTGTTTTACTTCCACCCACTCTCCATGTGATAAGCAGAAGATTAAGTGAATTATTGTGGTAAAGTGGATTTTTTAATGTTTTGGTATTGAACAGTAGCCAATAAAGCTCTTAACATCTCTACAGTATAAGACCATTAGTCTGGGCCACTGAATACAGGGCGTGCATCTGGAGTTTCTTGTTCACTCAGCATTTTAATAATAATGATAATAATAATAATGCATCAGTTTTAGCGCTTTTCTGGACACTCAAAGACACTTTACAGAGCATTATTTATGCACTCCACACTCAGTGATGGTAAACTATTATTGACAGACCGATGGAAGGGAGGCTGCCAATCTGCGCCGTCGCCCCCTCCGGTCACCATCGCTCACGCACACATCACTTTCATATTAGGCAATGTGGGTGAAATGCCTTTCCTAAGGACTCAATTACAGTTTTTACGACAACCCCTGATTTCCCAGTGGTCTCCCATCCAAGTACTAATCAGGGCCAGTGTGAGATAGTATTTTGACCCCCATAGTATATTGACCCCAGGGTCAACATACCGCTATAGTAAAGTGATCCCCCGTAGGATTTTGACTCCCTTACTTTTTTCTTTAGTAGTTCCTTATATGATCATTATTTCTCATGTAATTTACTTTTATTATATATTGCTACATATTCACTTTCTTTTAAGGTATTTTAAGGAATGTTTTGATGGATAACGACTTGGTATTTTGTGTAAATGTAACGTATTATTAAAATTGTATATACTTAGCAATCTTATCAATCTTTATATATTGTATTTTACATTGTTATGATTTTTAGTTTGCTATGTTCAGATAATCCTTAATCATAATGTCAAGTTAGACAATGGTTTGTAAGGATAACGACCTTGAATTTAGTAATGTTGTGTTATAATAAACATACTGGGAGGTCAGATTACTATAGCCATAGGATTTTGACCTTTTTTATGTATAATTGATCATTGTCAATATTCAACTAACATTACTTCTTATTTTACATCATCATAACTATAATAAACATATTGGGGGGTCAGATTACTGTAGCCACAGCTTTCCCCTATTTAACTACTCAATTGATCAGCCCTGTCTATTTTAATAAGATTCCAGATCATTATACATCACTTTGATTAACTATTATTAACTAATTAATAACTACTTATCTCATTTTTAATAAAATATGTTTAAACAACTAAGTAATTTTTAACATTCAAAAGTTATAATCGACATAAAAAATGCATCGGAGTTCTTCAAAAAACACTTTTAAATATGTCAGTATGTTTTAATTTGTAGATATCGTATTAATATTCAAAGTTTTTCTATAGAATTCAAGTTACTTTATTAATAAAATATAGATTTTCATAGAAGTGTCAATATTCTATGGGGGGGTCAACATTCCATAATAGGATTCTGACCCCGGGGTCAACATACCATCAGTATGTCAGGGGTCACCTCACCGCGGGGTCAAAATCCTATACCACACCGGCCTTGCTTAGCTTCTGAGATGTGACAGGATCAGGCTTTGACATGTTGGTATGGCCAATTTAAGGCATTATTTCTACAGGTGATAGCATCTTTGTTACTGCTTATTTATGAATAGGTAGGTACCCAAAAAGATGTACAACTCCCAAATTGCAATTGTGTTAAATTGCAGTCTGTATTATAGATTACATACAACCAATGTGTAGCAGCTCTAACTACAAATAATTCATTCAAAAGTTATGATTATAAAAGGTTCTAAGGAAATGTTTGAAGATATAGCATATGTATTGATTAGATATGGATTGATATAGTTTTTCATGACTGATGCTGAAACTGATTGAGAGAGAAACTGATGTACTATAGGTTTCCTGATATCTTTGGGCCGATATGCAGGGCAGATTTTGATAATTTTCCCCAAATAAAATTTTCTATACCCCTTTTTCCCACAAAGCTTTAAGCAAGCAGTGTTATGTTTTGTGTAGTTATTCTGTCGTATTGAAGTGTTCAGATAAAGTTTTATGCAACCAATATATCTGTCTAGCTCTTGTATTGATTTGAATTTTACAATTATATCAACATCTTGTGTCTCATCCCCTTTTGCCTTAGGCTTTATTGGACAGAACAAGATTAACTGTGAAACTGAGACATGTGAGGAGAGACTTGAAACAGACAGGGAATTAAACTCACATTATTTACAACAGCTCAGAGACCATGTGCTGCAGCCTAGTCTCTGAGCATAGACTGCAGAACAATAACGCTTAGTTCTTACAGCTTTTCCTTTTGTTTTCAGCTACTTCTCATTATTATAATATTGATCAAATTTTAATTAAAAGTATTTCCATCCCTTACTTTCCAGTGCTGATTAAAGTACAGTCTGTATCTGAAGCCTGGCTGCTGGCTACAACAGCTGACAGTGCTTTTATATTTCCTCTCCCGATTATGGAGCTTCCAAACATGCTGCTCTCACAACACTCATTTGGCTTCTGTTGGAGAATCTGTAGGAGGTTGTTTTGGTCTAGTTTTATGTCATCACTCCCTCTTTTAGATCATCTGTGTTTTTATAGTTTATCTTCAGCTTCTGCCGCAGCCTCAGCCCTTCTTGTCTACACTCCCCAGTGGCAAAACAATACCACAATAACATATGTCTGTGTTTGGTGAAACACCAGGATGTTTGTGCATAAAAATACTTATTCCCAAGGGCTGCCTCCTTCTGTTTTAAAATTTCAGTTTGCAAACAGAACGCATCTAATATCATGACATTTATTTGCATAGAAAGATTTCGATTGTCATATGGAAATTTTAAGAAACAGCATATATAAGAACCATGCTGTGTCACAAGCTCATCTTGAGCTATGATTTTGGAGGATTTTGGAATCAGGAGGAGTACCTAACTAATTGAGGAGCCTAAAATGCATGTTTAGATTTAAAAAAACAAAACAAAAACATGTCCCAAACAATAACACCTAAACAATATAGAGAATCCCTCAGTTCAGTTCTGATTGGCAGGATTTTTTTTTTTTCAAAATCAGAATTTTATTGCCATTGTCAGTGAACTAGTGTTGTCATGATACAAAAATTTCAAACTGAATTTCAGTAAAATACTGTTAAATGTCATTTTCAGCATTAAATAATGGCACTTTCTTTACCATGTGGTGTTATATCTGTGTAATCCCTCAGTTGTCCAGGTATTTTCCATAGTGATCCATAGTGTTCCATCTAAAGCTTTTTAGGAAAGGTTCATTTCTGTCCTGTGAATGTGACTTTTTTAGTATTGATCCTCGCTCAGCTCTACAGTGAACAAAATTTGCAAACTAGGATCTTGTTTCTGTGTGATGGTGCAACAGAAAACAATGAATAATGATTGACATCCAGAATAAGTACCTGGGGAAAAGAGAAAAGTTGTGTTCTGTGTTAAAAGCACTGCTGTTTGATTACACACACATGGCTACAATAGCCTGATTTGGCCACAGACCTCCAGACAAGGTTGAATACTGAAGGTTTAAAGGAAACCATGGTTTTCTTTTTTTTTTTTTTTTTTTCCTGAACTCTCCCAGACTTGACGTGTGTGGGCTCGTCTTTTATCAGGATTTTCACAGGGACATTTGTGTCATGCAGAGAACAGCGTCGCTTTGGCACGCGGCAGGGGACAGCGCATTGTTGTGACGTGAATGTACAACTCCACAGGCTCCAACTCTTATCTTAACATAACCTTTAGAGCCCACACATGCTAATGAGACAGCCCAGCACCTGATGTGGAAATGCTAACAAGTTAGAAAGGCATTAAAATCAAAACAAATGGTGATTATGGTTTAATTTATGAGGCTGTGGAGTGTTTTTGTTAAACTGTTCAGTGGAAGTGGAGAGAACAAAACCCACAACACTGTGCACTGGCATTTAGATATGATTCACAAAAGGTTTGAATGAGAGACTGAATATTCATATATTCAAATATCAGTGGAATAGTAAACAGAAAACAATTAGGCCTGCCACAACAACAAACTCTGAAGTGCAATATATGTGATAGATAGCTAAATAAAGACTTTAGTACTATAGATAATGTATAATTCTTTTTATTAAAGCTGTAGTGCAGTAAAGAGTAAGCTCATCTTGACTAACATAAACATTTTTGTTAAGTGTAAATAGAAAAGGCTTAACTAAAAATCATTTCAAAGCAGTCAACTCTGGCT